CCACTCCTAACTCACCGAGACGCCGCAGCATGATACCATGGTCCACAGTATCAAAAGCCACTGAGAGGTCCAAAAGCACAAGGACAGAGGAATAACCCCTGTCCCGGGCCCTCCAGAGATCATTTACCAACGTGACCAATGCCGTTTCCGTGCTGTGTCCCGGCCTGAAGCCCGACTGGTATGGGTCTAGATAGTCTGTAACTGAGGATCTTCCAGCCTGAGACAACAGAAACAGCCCTTCGCCTTCTTTTTTTTTTAAATAAATTTTTTTATTGATTTTTCATTGAAAAACAAAAACATAAATCTTTTATCACAATATCAACCAAAAAAAGAATCAACACCAATCAATACATTCACGGAGGTGTCCGGTGTCCCCCTCCTGCACCACCCTCTCACTTGCCTACACCTTCCTCCTCCCATCCTACCTCCACTCCTCCTTCCTCCCTCTTTCCTACCTCCCCTTCTCCCTCAACCATCCCGTCAGTGCAGTTGGGGTATCACCGGGCACCTCCTTTTAAAAAAAAACAAACCATACATATATATACATATAGTTCTATAATACCAACCTACCCCTTTCCACCCTCCCTCCCCCAGGACTTCCCAAAGCTAATCTAGGAAATAAATGCATAAACATCCAATTCTAATCAAAACTACTCATTATTACTACACACTAGTACAAAATTGCTGTGACTCTAAAATAACATTAAATTACTCCAAAAAAAAATAATTTTTTTTAAATTATACTATATAATATACCTATTTTTATTCTAAGTTTTTAATCAAAAGCTACATAATAATTTTTCAATTCATACTTTCTCTGAATATAATCTATCCATCTTCTCCATATTGAGATAAATTTTTCCTGAGCCCTTCGCCTTCTTTTGAGGAAAGTCCTTCAGCGTCTCATTGGTTCTTCTCCAGGCTAATTTTCTAGGGCTTCTTCTCGTCTCACTAACCAGCTTCCTTACCTTCCTCAGGATCATTCCCAATTGACCTACCTCTGACCTACATTCTGGCCTATAAGTCTAATTGATTTAAACATCTTTCAAGAGAATTCCCCCAAAACATATTTTTGCAAGAAGGATAGGAAAAGCATGATTGATTGCATCCCATTTCCTGGAAACAAGTCACCAGAAGCAGCTATTTCAGAAGCAGCACTGATACCTTTCCTCTCCAGAGTTGTTGTGCCTTTCTAATTCCCAGCTGCGGTCTGGAGCATAGTCCCACTCCACCTCCTCAGCCATGATGTAAAAGGTTCTCACTGTCCCATATTGTTGGTCTGGAAAATATGCCTTTTCCCCACACTGCTGAACAGAGTAACTGCCTCTCATTCCGTTCTGATAGTGGTTGCTTGTCTGACAGTAAACACCAAAAGTGCCTAGGAGGAGGCAAACAAAACTACTGAGAAGACGTCCAGAATCAGGATGGGAGCAAAGAAACCCCCGAAGCTTCTGTACCAGATGTGGGAAAGACAGATCTAAATTCATTTAGGTATGGCAACAGGCCAATGTTTTTTAAACACTACATGTATGCATCTTCCGCTTAAAGAAATAGAAAAAATTGCTTAAACTTTTCCAGGGATTGGGGATGGGGGCAGAAGCATTTTGATAACTTCTCAGATACCAGTTGTTGCCATGCTTGGAGAGCTCTCAAGAAGGGTTTGCTTGTTCTGAATTTACTGAGAGCAAATACAGGGTAGTAGTTAAGCTGTTGGATCATGACTCCAAAAACTTCAGTAAAAGTCTTCCCCCAAAGCTCACTTGGTAGACATGGGCATTTGATCAGCCCAACCAACAACACCGACCTCCTCCTCCCTCTTGTATGTTTCCTTGAGTTCCTAAAGAGACAGGTACACCGTCTCTCAATAATACTCTCAAAATAGTATCCATGTGTTTCTCAATTGACTACATTGCTCTACAGGTGTTAAGCTGTTTGGCTTCATCTTAAACTCACTACGGAAAGGAGCTGAGATCAGATCTGGCAAATTCTAGAGCCTCTGGAAAGCCCAGCCCGTCTCCCCAAATATGGGACCTGTGCTTCAACACAATGTGAAGGGCCAAGTTTCTCAGTCCTGAGAGAGGGAAGAGAGGGTTAGGCCCTTACCTTGGTTATCAGGCTGCATGAGGGCTGTGGCGAAGGTGTGAGGGAAAAGACTGGTTGTATCTCGCCTCATCCCATTCATCAAGATGGTATTTCCTTGGAAAACAACCCCATGAATGTCAGTTTCACTGCCGAGGCCGAGCAAGTGCCAGGAAATGGTTTCTCCCTTGCACATATCCAGGAGAGGCAAATTTCCGAAGAGGAATCCATTGATGGCTTCAATGCAAAAGGAAACAGGGAGAAATCAGCAGTGGGCTCCGTTTTCAGGGGAGATTTCATTCAGTGACAATTTGGGAATTCTCAAACTGAGTAGAAAGCAGGATTCAAAATCCAAAAATCAAAAACTGTGAAAAAGTGGGAGGGGAGACAATTGTTCAAACACCTGGGCTGTGGCCCTCATAAGGGTTGCCTCAAAGGTGTTTTTTTCAAACGATAACTGGGCTGTTTTTTCCTTGGGAAGAAAAAGAAGACATTTCGCTTCTCATCCAAGAAGCTTCATCGGTTCTGGCAGGATGGTGGGGGCAATAGAAAGCAAACAGCTGCGGGGCTGTATGCCTGCTTCCCTCCTTCCTGCCTTTTCCGGAGGGCTTTGCCTGCTTACCAGTCCCTGCCTCTTTGCTTTGCTTTGCAAATGTTTGCCCATGGATGCCCCCACAGCCTTCCCTCCCCCACCACGCCATTTGATACTGATGCAGATCTTTCTGTTTTCTTTTTTCCCTTTATTGCTCTGATGCTGCAATAATCAAGGCAGTAGTTCTTCCTACATCCTAAGTCCATGGTAACTTGCTGGAAGCAAGGAAGAATAAATCGTTCAGCTTCCCAGAAGCAAAACAGCAGAACCTCTACGTGGCAACTTAAAGATGTTAAAAAAATAAGGAAGAGGCTGTGGGCATGGGGTGGTATGCTTTGCCCAGTCTGGGCAGAAACTGAAATGATGCCCACTGGGAGATGGAGCAATGAGGTTCTAGAGAAGATGGACAAATGCCAGTGAAGATACTTCACTAACTTTACGGGCCATTGCTGGATCAACACCAAGATATTTAAAAATGGCAACTGCTGACCAGCCAAAAACAGGAGATCAGCAGCTCAGGATAAAATGACTGTCCAGGCAGTAGCCACAGAGTTGAGGCTGTTGCTGGCCTGGAACACAGAACTGGAGAACATCTGAAGGGATCCAAGACTCCTAAATCAAAGCAGAACACCCCCTCGGTACATCTTTGTTCAACAGAAATCCATTCAAGCAATGAAAAGTAATATATGTCTGGATTTCACTGCTGTAAGGTGAAAACTTAAGCATTAATTGAGAAACTGGAAAGTGGAAAAAACAGGATTCCTAAATATTGGGATCTCCGTATGCTGGATTTTAATTCCTATAATTTTCAGACAGGATGGGCATTAGTGATGCTGGGTAGCAAGAATAGAAATCAGGTCAAGCCTAACAAAAAGAGGAGAGGGAGTCTACTGTTGATTACGAGCTCTATGAATTGTTTATGCTTGTTTTTAATTTGCAGATTGTCATTTATTTATTTATTTATTTATTGTTTATATTTATATCCCGCCCTTCTCCTTGCGGACTCAGGGCGGCTAACAACCAGATAAAAATGCAAATCCCAAAACTACAGATTAAAACATAATTAAAAACAAATATTAATAATTGGTCTGATTAATTTAAAATTACTTTAAAACCCCCATTAAAAATTTCCCCTAGGCCAGTCCTGCAAGCTGGAATAACCATGTCTTAAGCTGGAATAACCATGTCTTAAGCTGGAATAACCATGTCTTAAGGGCGCGGCAATAATGGAGAGAGCTGTTGCTTTCAAACTTTTCTTTGAAGGATGCGCTGAAACATTTCTTCAAGGAAAAGGATGAGGTCAACCTACATAAACAACCATTCATCATTGATTTGTTCAAGTATTTGCATCTACCTCTACAAATTTGAGTTGCCATGATTAATATCTGAGAGTTACGAGCCTGTTTGATGAGTCAGACTCTGAACTGGAAGAGAATTGGGCTTGATAATTCCATTCTTGTCTTTTTGTACCCAGCAAGTAGATCAAAGATATGAAATGTGGCTCCTCAAAGGAAGAGGCAAGACTCAGGAGAACAGCCATGCCCTAGTCCTGCTATAAACTAAAGGATTGAGAGTTTATGTCGGCGAACAATTTTCCAACTTCAGGCAATCCTTTCTCAGTGAGTGCTGCCTCCAATTCCCTTATTGATCTCTGGACTGGTACAAAGCCACACTCAGTTCTGATTCTTGGATTTATCTATATGGAAGTTTATTTCCCATCTTTATTATTTTTATAAATAACTCAAGATGGTAAACATATATAATACTCCCTCCTCCTATTTTTCGCCCAATAACAACTCTGTGAGATGGGCTGGGCTGAGAGGCAGTGACTGGGCCAAAGTCAACCAGATGGCTTTTATGCCAAGGCAGGACTAGAACTCACCGTCTCCTGGTTTCTAGCCTGGTGCCCTCACTACTAGACCAAACTTTGGCTTCTGAAGTGACATTGTTGTGTTTCCTGAGATCTCACATCCCTCAGCTGTGGTAAGAAATTGAGCTGCCATAAGGCCTCCAACCTCCTACCCTGACTGCCTGATCCTTTGCTTTCATCCCCAAATTGGGCACATCGACATACCATGCATTCTATTGGACTCTTTGAAGATGTGATCCTCAAATAGTTCTTCTTTTCCCCGTGTGTATTTCAGATACTTCCGATTTGTGTTCAGATACCAGCTTAGGTTTTCATTAAACACACCAAACAAAAGGTAAAACTCTTTATCAATGCCTTTCTAGGAAACAACACAGAGGATATCAGGTTTTGGAATACTTAGAATCTGATTGGATAACCAAGGAGATAGTCTACTTTGCTATTTCAGCTAGCTCAGCAGAGAGAGGGAAGGAGAGAAGGCAGTAATTTCTTTTGTAGCTTAGAGTTATGAAGAGGTGAGAGGCAGCAAAACATGTAGGAATAAAAAGTGAGAAACTATTAAAACAACAGGACAATTTCCACGGGACAAGCTGTGTAACAGAATCCTATTAAATTATTAAATTCTATGGTGAGAACAGAAAAGCAGTAAAAGACTTAATAATTTATTATTGTGTTTTCATTTAATTTTGTTTTCTTGAAGAACCTGTCTGAAATGGTATAGAGTTCCCTGCCTGAGCAGGGGGTTGGATTAGATGACCTCCAAAGTCCTTCCAACTTTTTTTTTTTTATTATTATTATTATTATTATTATTATTATTATTAACTGTGCTTTGTTAAGAACTGTATAAAAAAGCAGTGGGGTGCAAGCTTTGGGACATTTTTCCTGCCCCTCTTCATTGGCTCAAATAAAGCCTCCTAATATCTACTCTGGTCTGTGTTATCGGTTTTGCATACTGGGTCCAGCAAGCCTGGTTGGGACAACAATTGACTAATCGTCAGCTAATCCACACACAAAAAAGTGGAAGAAATCAGGACTATAAAATTTATATAAAATATAAAATTATGTCACAAAGCTAAAATGGGGATGTTGGTATAAAGGATGGGACTGCAGCTACTGTTTTAATACATGCTGTAAGCCACAATGTGTGTGTGTGTTGCTTTGGCCTATCACCTGTGGTAAATACAGCAATTCTGTGTTGGTTTAGTATATTGTGGAGTCTCGAAATTGGTTCAGACCTCTGACCTCCTTCACCTAACAGTGGCCCCAGGGAAGCCTCTGAAAAGCCACCAACAGGGCAACATGGAGCAATGGCATCTATAGGTACTTCTCACTTAAAGACCAGTCAATGACCCACTCCTCAAAAGGTCCTCATAATCGGGTTCCAGTTTTGTGGGCCTCCATGGTCACATGATCACATTTTGGGCAACTGGCTTGCATCTATAGCTATTTACTACGTTTCAGGATCATGTGATAGCAATTTTCAGAATTTTTTTGCATTTCTTGTATTTATTTCTGGTTTCTGGCAAAAAATGCCCATTGGATAAAATGGATTCATTTAATAACTGCTGTGTTCACTTAGACCACTGCAAAAAAAGTGACCTGCTTAATAACTGCCATGACTCACAGACCTAATTCTGGGCTTAATTATGGTCATTGAGGACTGCCTTTAGTTGACTTCCCTCTGGATACCGACATTTAATTATAAAACTCTCCGATGGCAGAATTAATGATTCTATCTTGTTATTAAACTGAGCTAAGACCCCACAACTTAAATAACTTAGAATATTAATTTATTGCACATGTGTGTGCGTATCAACAATTTTTATTATGCACCAACTGACAGATCTAGATTTATAAAGCAAAGCCGTCGTTTTTGCATTAGAAGGAAGTTTTTACAGCAACTAGAAAGAAGGCAGAAAAAATATTATTCAGTTATTATCCACAAATAGTTAGGTTGGTTTACAGCATGTTTTTTTAGCTACTGGCTAATAATATTTGTAGATATAAGTTGGGATTCAACACATCTGGCAAACAGATGTAGCTGGGGAAGATGGGTCTGCCCCAAAAGCAAATCCGGCCCTGAGGTCTCCCCAGCCCTGACAATGCATGCCAGTGCTGAACTGGGCCTCTTGCATCCAAAACAGATGCTCTGCCTTTCATTTACAACTCTTCCCTCACAGGTTGCATGATTTCTCCACTTGAGATAGGCACGATCAAACAAGACAAAGTACCTGCTTGTTTCTCTCATTGAGCGTGCCAGGCCTACAGATGAGTAAGGGCCCCACTAAGCCAGAGTTGGTGTCTCTTGTGGGATCCACCTCAGAAGAATACATCCAGGTCAGGCAAGGAGGGTCTGAGGCTGTGGGGCCAACATCTGGTGGTAGCACCCAGATATATGTGAAGTTCCCAAATGGCTTGATGGACACTCCATTGTTGAGTAGGCCTTTAAAATGAAGGGGAAAAAACCAGTTATTTGTACATTTTCAGTCACTAGTCCATCAATCATCTCATAGAATGCACTGTGGGAACAGATGTTCCTGGCTGTTTCCAACTACGGACATATCACCCTGTACAAAATGGCTATCATGGAGAGGGAGTACCTGGATATGTCTGCCAAGACAATAATCACTAATCATTGCAATATCCATTTACTGGAAGGCAAGGGTTATTATCCTTTCTTGGGGAGAAGCAAAGGTAGACTTATTTTCAAAGGAAGTGTTGGGTTGCAACCACCAGTCATTGTTATGTTCAGAAGTTCTCAGAAGGGCTAATGAAATAAGGCAGATTAAGTGTCAGAATCCATTTATATTTCATTTCTATCTATCTCCTCTGATCTAAAACCAAATCTCACCTTCCCCTGGATTCTGCCATACTCCCACGTGGGAGGGGGGGATACGCCTGCGGGGTTATGACTTTCACGTCCTCTATTCGCTACAATGTAACCTTTTGTTTATTGCTGCTGGGTCTGTTGCCCATTACAATGCAACAAATTGCCTCCTGCACTATGCATCTTTCTGAACTTTCTTCTCTCTAACCTGGCAGTTACGAAAGAAATACAAACACCTGGAACCTGGCTTATTTCTCTGGTCTCAAAAGGAGGTGTGAAGAGCTGTGGAACATCGTACTAGGAGCCGGACTGATGTTATTTTCCCTTTCCCACGATGGACTTAACACCTGGAGATTGGCCGGTCTGAACCGTCCGGATGAACTGTGGGGTGGGGTTTGCTTAGGGACCCTTTAAAGTATCGATCTGTAAAGAATCCCTCAGATCCTGTCTATTATGCCTGCTATCAACTACTCTTAATAAAAGTTCCTGTTGAAAGAAATTGTTTCCAAGAGTTCTGCTTTCTTAAGATGTGGGATTAAAGTGGGTCCTTACATTAAGAATGCAAAAAAAAAAAAAGCTTTTAAAGCAGGAAGGAGCAGAAGCCTTCCACAACTTGGCTTCTTTCACCTCCCATAATCCATAGCCATCATGAAGGTTGGAGAAGACTCTTGTAAGGTTGCCAGTGTTCCAAATGAAGGCTTCCTATAAAACTGCTTCTGTATAACTGGAAACAGCTTGTTTCTCAGCCCAAAAACATAATTTGCTTGACCTGTTTACTGACTGAAAGGATTACACCTGTTTATATATGTGTTTCATTCTGGAACAGATTAAAAACTGAGCAGAAAGAGGTTAGAAGAACAAACCTTCCTGGTATGGGCCTTCTTCCCACAGCTTCCTGTAAAAGCCGCCATGGGGCTGGATACTGAAAGGCCACGAGGCTTTGTTGGCAAAGGTCACCTGAATGGTGTCGCCTACTTCGGCTTTCATCACTGGACCTGCAGGAGAAAAGAGACGAGAGGCTGGATGATCCACAACCACAATGGAACCAGCTTCAGAGAACCTAGATAAATCTGGGTAGCAAAGAGAAATATCTTGACCCTAGAGTGCCAGGGCTCACAGAGTCACCCCAAAGCTTTTGGTGGGGCTCCCAAAACACGCTAATATTGCCTTCAAATTCTCATGTTCAATGTGATAAAAAGGGGGAAATAGAAAGGATTAGACATTGACAAGAGGCATCTTAATTTGTTTTAATGCACAGGTGTCCAATCAGCAGCCCAGGAGGTGCATGTGGCCCTGGACAGCTAGCAATGTGGCCTCACAAGATTATAAAAAATATTAAAAAATAAAGGAACTTTGTTATTTTTATATATATTAACTATATTATATATTTTATATGTAGCCCAGGACAATTCCTCTTCACTCAACTTGGCCTAGAGCAAGACAAAAGGTTGGACAATCATGTTTTAATGGATGCAATTTGATAGAGATAATTTGAAATTATTTTATTTACTTTTTTGTCCTGACCTGATCAGCTTTTTTGAGTGAGATCCCCAGCTTATCTTTCAAATATCAAGTGCAATTCAAAGACTTCCCACCTCCCCAAATTATTCATCTGACCCCAAAAAATCTAAAAAATAATTCTGCATTTGCTTTGGTGGCTCCAAAAAGCTTATGTTATGGTAACATTCATTTTAAGTTTTGAGTTTACAGAGCTCTAGTTGGCTGGTTTTTATTTTCAATAAAAACAATTCAATCAAAAGTCATCGCCTGAGGTTCAGAAACCATCAAAATAACACACTAGCAATAAACACAAAATATTAGATGTTATTTAAGACATTAATTAAGGAGGAAATTCAGAATGAAAGCCCCTATCTTACAAGGTTTAATAATATCTTTCAAAACAGAAAAGTTGAGTTAGAGAAATTAGGCACGAACAAGGACATTCAGTGGGCTGGAATTCTTCCAAATTCTTCCAAAGGACATGGGCAAGATGGTGGCCTGGTGGAACTTTGACTGCACCATCTTGGCTGCCATCTTAACATTTTGATCACAACTGCCAACACTGCTGCAGAATCATGCCAGTACCTCCTGAATCTGTTGCAAAAACTTTTTCCCAGGATTGGATCACCCACTTCCTTTCCTGGCTGTGATCTCCCACTTCCTTGGATTTGGGAGAAAAACTGCCTGGAACTGTCATCCTCCTCTCAAACACAAGCAAAGTGAGTGTCAGACCTACCCCAGTCAGCCCCCCCCCCTCAAGAAAGCAAGACTCTCCATTAAGTTGAATCAAAAGAACTTTTACTGAGTAACTGGATGAAATAAAGTCAGGCAGAATCTGAAAGTCCCACGCAAAGCACAGAGCGATTCTTTTGGTTTCCCAGTTTCAGCCCCCCTGACCAGTCCACTGGCAGCCAATGTGATGCTGAGATGTTTTAAGGTGCTAGGCAGATAACAATTCACATTCAGAGGCCGATGGCCTTGGAACCAGGCTGGAACCGGATGGAAGGAGCTTGTTCTGTCTCCCAAGACAGTCCCCCTCCCTAATTCCCAAGTGAACAGCAGAAGCAAAAAAATCATGCCATCCCCCTCCCCTCTCAGCATGATGGCAGGACACCAGAGTACGAATGGTGGATCTGACATGCTGCCCCCCTGAAAGAGACGTTAGTTCTGTAGAACAAAACACAATACACAAAAAGAGAAAAGAGGGTTAGGATTGATAGCTTACTTATATTATGAAACCGTTTTAAGTAGCCTAGCAGCTTTAACATAGTGTTGATCAACCCATACATTGTGGGATTTGGGAAAATCCTTCCACGCAACCAAATATTGAACTTTTCTCAGATGTCTGCGTGAATCTAAAATGACCTCAAAGTGTTGTTCCCCTTCTATCATTAAAGGCTCATATTGTGATTCCTCGCCAGCCAGTGGATTCGGCAGCTGAGTCTGAGGACTCAGATGAGGAGGAGGGGGCTGGAGTGACATTAGAGTCAGAAGAAGGCTCTGAGGAGCTCCAAGACTTACGGTCGGACGAGAAGACTGGCCCCTCTACTTGCACTCAGGCTGACACACAGCTGTGCTGGGAGCCTGAGTTGGACAGTGATGAGAAACCGTTGGGACAGAGGAATGCAATGGGGCAGCTCCAAAGGCAAAGGAGAAGGCATTAGGAAGCCACGCCTTGGCTGAATTATAAAAGAGGGATGTTTGGGAGGTGCTGGTTGCCAAAGGCAACCATTCGTGTTGAGGATCGAGTTTCTGTGGACTGTGTTTGTTTGCCTTGGACATTGACTCAGATCTGTGTGAATAAAAGGGATTGGTTTTTCTTGCGGTTCCTGCTTGTTTCTTGGAAGAGGGGTTTCTCCTTGTGAGTACAACAAAAACTCACGTAGAACAGCTCAGGTGGTGATGACAATTCAGGTCTAAGGGGGGAAGTAATCTCGGTCTTTAACAAACTGTAGTGGAACACTGGTGGATTTGTCAAAGAGATTTGGCAAATCGAATTCCACCATAACTGGGTTAATAATGTGTTTGATGGGGAAGGACCCACATATTTGGGTCCTAACTTTTTCAATGGTTGCAAAGATTGCAGGTATCGGGTGAATAGGTAAACACAGCCATCCACATTAAAGATTTTAGGTCCCCTGCACTCTTCATCAGCTTGCTTTTTATAAGCTTTTCTAGGATCTGCAAGGGACTACCTCACAACCGGCCAAGTATTCCATAATTGGGAGACCCATTCTTTTTAAAGAAGGCACAGAGGGAGGCCATTCAAAGGCAGCTTGGGCATGGGAGTAAAGTCTTGTCCCATAGCCATTTTAAAGGGGTGAACCCTGTACCAAATTACTGTATGCTACTTCTGCAAATGATAAAAGGTCTGTCCAGTTGTCCTGTTGATAATGAATGTAGCACCTGAGTACTGTTCCAATACTGAGTTCTGTGTTTGCACCCCCATTAGTTTGGTGGTGATGACTGAAACCAAGCCCCTGATCAGTCCCAAGAAGATTTAGGAATGCTTACACCCTCCTATTGGAGATTATGCATTGTGGGGCTTTGTGTAGTCGGTAGATATGTTGCACAAAAAGCTTGGCTAGCACACGTGCTGAGGGATATTTTTGGCATGGGACAAAGTGCACCTGCTTGGAAAACAAATCAGTTTTAATCCATATAACCGTATTTCCTGAGCTTTCTGGGAGTTCTACTATGAAATCTATGGAGATTTCTCTCCATGGGGCCATTGGCTCAGCCACCGGTTGGAGGAGCCCTGGGGTTTTTCCTTGCCACCGCTTGGCAGAGGCACAAATCGGGCAACTTGCCACATAGATTTCAATGTCGTTCTTTAAGGACAAAACTGCCTTTTAATTAAATGTAAAGTTTTCACAAAACCAAAATGCCTAGCAGTTTTTGAATCATGGCTTTTACCCAGGACCAGTAACCTCTGGCTTTTTGGTGCATACAATTTAGCCCCCACCCAGGCTAGACTGTCCCATATGGAGCACTCATTTTTGTGATTTTGAAACCACTTGTCATCCTGTAGTAAGGCTTTAAGAGCTGCTGTGACATTGCTGTTGATCTGAGGCTTCTCTCTTGCTTGCGCTCTGGCCAGCTGACAACGTCTGATTTGGTACAGTTATACTGAGGCATTCATGATAGGGCATCAGCCAGAAAATTCTTTCCTCTGGGAGGTAGTGCAAAGTAAAGTTAAATGGTTGAAGTACTGTGCTCATTGGACTTGCTTGGGTGACAGCCTCTGCAGGGTTTTCAAAGCCTCTAGGTTTTTGTGGTTGGTCTGCACCTTAAAAGGCACTTTGCTCCCTTCAAGGAAGTACCTTCATGTTAAGAGTGCCCAGTGCACGGTGTATGCCTCCTTTTCCCAGACCGCCATCTCTGTTCAGTCTCAGACAGTTTTCTAGAAGTGTGGCACAGGGTTGTGAATTCCCTTGTTCGTTTCGTTGCAAGAGTATGACTCTACAGCCACATCCTTAGTGTCTGCCTGAATGATAAATGGGGTGTTTGGATCTGGGTATTTGAGGACAGGTTCGGCTGCAAATAAGCATTTAAGTTTCTTGAACACTGCTTGACTCTTCATAGTCCATTTTAAAGGTTGGCTAGGCTTGTCTTCTCTTTTTGTCTTTAAAAGGTTATTGATGGGGAGTACGATCTGGGCAAAAGTTGGGATTAATTGGCAGTAAAAATTGGCAAAGCCCAGGAAGCTTTGCAATTGCTTTCTGGTGTGGGGTGGAGTCCAGTCCAATACCGCCTGGACCTTTTGGGGGTCCATCTCGACTTCTTCGTGTGATATGCGGTAGCCTAGCTTACTTTACTCTGGTCTGGTGGAAGTTGCACTTGGAGAGCTTGTCATACAACTTAGCAGCTTTTAGTTTCTTTTTTTCTTTTTTTTTCAATATAAAATTTTTATTATTTTCCAAAAAAAAACAAAACATCACAAGTATTACACAATATTATATTATATCCCACCCACCCCGGACTTCCCAAACCAAGTCCCAGGCTAATATTCAAATATAGGTAAACAAATATTAATATCTCTAACTCCACAAACTCTATTTATAAACAATCCATCTCCCCCACATTAATAAAAAAATTATACATTTAAGTAATTCAAATACACCAAAGTCTATACCAATTCAACAGGTATCACCAGTAACTCTTCCTCTCTATTAAAACATGATTATCATATTTATAATAATAATATAAGTGCATTTCAATTTCTAAAAAGTATATTCTAACATTTCATCAATCTAGCCCTATAAAAAATCATTTAAACCCTTAATAAAGTTTACAACTACAATTACTTATCAATTATAATATATATATATAAAAAAAAATACTTTAACAAAAAATCCACATCCTTCAACCATTATAAAATCAAAAAAACCTTTAAAGCCTTAATTCCCAACCATTCATAATTAAATCAAACAAATTCAATTATTACAACATCATTATCATAATAATATATATCCAGAAAAAGAAAAAGAAAAAA